TTATCTGCAGTTAGTTACACGAATTCAGTTATGAGATGAAATCGGATAGGGATGAAATTGTTTAGGGATGAACGGGTTTAAGAGTTTTAAGAGTTTAAGAGTTTTTAAGAGTTTTAGTCAAATGCTTTATAATATAGTATAGATAATTTAATTTTAAGTTTAATAATAAAACAATTTATTTTTGGTTTAATATTATAAATTTTATAAATATAATAATTAAGTATTCTGTTAGAATTTAATGATTATACTAATTAAATTTTTGATTTTTTATATTTAAAATGAGATGTTTATCCTGTATTTGATTGTGTTTATCTGCAGTTAGTTACACGAATTCAGATATGAGATGAAATCGGATAGAGATGAAATCGTTTTGAAATGAACGAGTTTAAGAGTTTTTAAGAGTTTTAGCCAAATGCTTTATAAGATAGTATAGATATATATATACACACACACAAGAATCAAATTCATGATTCTAACTAAATTAATGGTTTTTATTTATTTTTTATATGATTAATGGAGATTTGTTGTTGTAGACGAAGAAAATATGTGTTCATAGATATATATATATATATATATATATATATATAGGAGCGATCAAATGAAAACCGCTCTAATTTGTAAAAACCGTAAAAACTACTCTCATCCGTCGTAATCTTATGAAATTTTTTCATGAAATTGTTTAATCTTATGAAATTGTTTCATATAATACTTTTTTTGATGAAGTTGTTTCATATATGGTTATGAAATTGTTTCATATACTACTTCATGAAATTTTAATGAAACAGTTTCATGTATTTTTCTAAAATTAAAATAATGAAGATGATAATATCCATGATTAACACTCTCCACAATAAAAATGGTTAATCAACCTCTCATAATTACAAAAAAATGAACAAAATGAAAAATTATGATTGATTGAATAAGGTTTTCACGGTTTTTACAAATTGAGTGGTTTTTATTTGAATGCTCCCCTATATATATATATGGGGTCACTCAAGGGAGAATTAATTAGTTTGTGATAACTGTGAGATCTAAAAGGCATTTTAGTTAGTTTGGTAACATGACTTAAAACTTTAATTAAAGGGCATTTTAGGTATTTTAAAAATGTTATATATATCCTCTCTCCTCTATTCTCTCTTTGTCAAACTTTATTCCGACGAACTTTATTCTGGCAAACACATGATGCACGATGTGATGTGCTTTATAAAATAACAAAAAAACACACTGTGATACACTTAATAATACAACATTACCTTATATATTGTGTTACACTTCATAAAACAAAAAAATAATAATATTATGATACACTTCGTATAACGACAAAAATACACTGTCATACACACTATGATACCATATATGATTGATGAATACAATTGTGATACCACTATGATATCACTATACCCGCTCTGATACCCAAATAACATAGAAGGTACATTGCAGAAAAATGGGTCGTCAACGAGATCCGGAATCATCTTGGCATATCTGTTAGTAACAGACAATCGGGTCATTGAACGACATGGGTGAACGAGGAGCCATCGTCATCGATGGAAAATCAGGTCTTGACAGATATGTTCTAAGCCATGTTAGGTAAATCAGAAAGCATCATCGGTGGTCACCGGATGATGGTCTTTGTTGTTTGTCGGTATAAGGATGGTGGTTGTTGTTTGTTGACATAAGGATGGTGGTTATTGTTTGTTGACACAAGGATGGTGGTCGTGTTGTTTCCGACGACTGGAAGTTTTGGAGGCATAAGGTGAAGAAAATGATATGGCGGCGGCTGTATCTGGAGAAAGAAAATGAAGATTTTAGGATTTAGGTATATGGTAGAGAGAGAGGAGGCGTATATGTAAAAACATGGAATAATTTTTTTAAATATAAGAAACATAATTACTAATTTACCCTTTGTTTCATTTTAATAAATAACATTAATTATATAAAATGATTGGTTCATATTAGATCTCATGGTTACCACAAACTACTTAGTTTTCATTTGATTAGGTTGCCATCTATATATACACACACACACTACCCGACCCATTAAAGCTAAAATACAACCCAAATTAACCATTTTCATATAAGGCGAAGTATTGTGTGAGAAACGTAAAAAAAAGATTTGAACACTTGATTATTTTTAATCTCAAACACATCCATGAATCATGTTTGATACGTGGATTGATTTGGTGCATCTCATTTTAATGTGCATCTAAAGGTACTTTTGTTTTAGCAAAGCAAAATCCAACCTTTTTAATTTTATAAAATAAATGTGTAAAAATAAATTGAATCGTAAATATTAAAGAGAAAGCAAGAAAATGAGACACAAATGGTCCTATGGTCTAGTGGTTAGGACATTGGACTCTGAATCCAGTAACCCGAGTTCAAATCTCGGTAGGACCTTTATTTTTGCTTTTAGCAAGAAAGGATTTCCGAGTTTTTGAGGAAAGTACAACAACATTGGGCATGAAAAATTAAGTTAAATTACATTTAACTGCATGTGGATCTTCCTTCACCACCTTCCTCCTCCTGCTGCTGCTGCTGCACAATCACAATCACAAACAGATTTTATGTGGATCTTCCTTCACCACCCTCCTCCTCCTGCTGCTGCACAATCACAATCACAATCACAAACAGATTTTCGTGAAAATAAACTACAATTCACTTATGTTTTTGTTCCAATCAAAAACTCATAAATATTTCAATCTCTCTCTAGAAGTACATATAAATGTTTCATGCTTTGTCTAGCTGACATGGACTCCAAAACACTGGGTGATAAAGTGTGTCAAGTTGGTAGATCCCGATACCAGATATAAATTATAATGTTACCTGCTGCTGCTGCTGCTGCTGCATTTGATCCAGTGATTGTTGTGCCATGAACTTGAGTAGCTCTTCCTTTTTTACCTCGAACTTGTGCTTTTCATGGGCTAATAAAGCTTCTTCCCTCTCCATATCCGACATCATTCTCTCTTTTTTCCACTTCAATTTCTTTATCTTGTTTTCCCTCTCAATGTATTGTTCCGATGGAAAACAATCATCCCCACAACATACCCCAAAACTAACATCTAATTCTTTCCTAAATATCAACACCCAACACACACATGTTAATGTTAATGTTATATATATAACCAAAATCTACCTTCTTACACCATCTCCAATGCTTCACTTCTTGTATATATAATTAAGAAACTTGATTGAAAATGGTGTATTTATACACATGTTTAGTGAAAAGGTGCAAGAATTAATTAATGTGAGGAAAAAGGTGAAGGGAAGTGTATAGTTTGTTACCTAGTACTCCCAAGAGAAAACATAGCATGGGGTCGTCTTATGATGCCACCATCTAAAGATATGGCTCCAGTGGAGATACAAGGGAGGGCCTGCATCATGTCTTTCCGGGTTCTGTACACCTGCAGGTGCGACAACAGCTTATAGTAAAGCGTCTCTCTAAGCCCATGCCCATTTTCTGTTACGAATGATAGATAGTCGCTATCGATATAGATCATATTCACAGCAAACGCGATAAAACCGGCTGGAGATTCGCCATTTGGTAACTTTGGTTTGATAAGAGCAAGCCTCCTCTGTGGATCATTAGTCATAAACTCACCACCATATGGCCTGATCCATCAGAAAAACAAATTATCAAACCATATATATATATATATATATATATATATATTCTGAAGATTGCAATATATATATATATATATATATATATATATATATATATATAGGATGACAGAAATTAGTTTAAATTAAATAGATACATGAGTTGTTCAAGACATATGACATGAAATCTTCCTTCCAGATTTCTTCCAATGGAAGCTCCAAGCCCATAAAGACCAGTTGTTCTATTTATAAGTCCTTCTTCATCATACGTCTCAAGAGTTTTAACACCATCATATGTCTTACAAACTAATGCCAACATGGTATCCAGTCCCAGATACTCTGATAGAACCCTGCACGTATATATATATATATATATATATATATATATATGTATCAAATTAAAACAAATATCATTCATTCACCAAATTAATCAATACAATTCTAATTCACTAATGTGCATGCCTGCTATCAGTGATTGGAGCCAAAAGATTAATTTAGAAATTAACAACACAAACTTAATGATTCAAACATTACAATAAATTTGGTTAATTTGTATGTAACACGAAAAATATGTTAACTGATTTATATCTATGATTAAATCATTATGTATCCTAAACAAATGAAGGTGTTACAATAATTAAGTTAATTCTATTAGTTTTTTTTATATGATATTATTTGTAAAAGAAAATCTTATATCAAAAACTGTCATATAAAAATGTTAATAACATATATGCTTTAATAATTAATTTAAAACTCTTTTTTTTTTTTTTTTTTTTTTTTTTTATGGAAATTCAAAAATGTTTTAAAAAGGTTAATAAATTAGGTGTTATAAATCAGTTAAAATGAAAGGAATAATTAATACGTGCTAAGATTGATGTCGTCAACGGTCCCAAGAGTGGCAAGAACACCAAGGACGTCCGATAGAATTGGAGCAACAGGAGCAGGAGGTGGATTGGCCTGATGATATCGACGTGTGAGGTCGCAAATAACGGCAGCAGCGGATTTATCATCATGTTGCAAAATATGCTCAACGGTTTCCTCCAACCTCGTAATAAGGTGGTGGACATGGCCTTCCGACATATGTTTGGTCCGGTATGGATGATTGCCAAGACTTGCTACAATACAAACAGATCGATATCGTTAATTTAATGATTGATGAAATATGAAATCAATAGATGAGAATGACAGACAATATATATATAATAAACATACCTTACCTTGCATTTGAGCTATGAGAGGGTCAAGGCTTTTTCTGATAAGATTCTTGAAATATTTGATATTATCTTCATGTTGCAGTATTTTCTTTCCTTGTGACTCTATATCATCCTCAACTTTCTACAATTAAATTCATTACATATCACCATCTTAATTAATTAAAAGAAAAACAACCATGCATCAGCACTGCACATTCTAATTAAACATCTAAATCTTATATAACATTTCATTCCAGACAGACCAAATATAATTGATATATAACTACTAAGTTAAGTTAGTATCATGATCATATATATGTACATAAATTTCATGATTAATTAGTAAGTTACTATCATCAATGTCATATATATTACTATTAGAAAGTTAGTAATATATTAATTCACATAGAAGAATTGAAGAAAGTTTGGCATTTAATTGATGATGAAGAATGGAAGCAAAACTAAATTCAAATATTCAGTCCTTTCTCTTAATTTGTGTTCAATTAATTAAAAGGGAAAGTGAGACTGAAGATTGAAAACAAAGATATGCTCTCACAAATTTAAATGTGATATTCAAGATCTAAGACATATTTAAAAACCAATCTCTAAGTACGATTTTTTTGCAACTAAGGCTAATTAAGATATTTTAATTTTACATGTATTTATTTCATAATGCGAAACGTATTTTTTGTTTGACAATATAATGATTGACCAGTTAATAATTTTTTTGAGGTTCTCATTTGATTATTCGATACACAAATGTATCTCTCTTTCTTTGTATTAATTTTGTCCCCAAGTATATTAAACAAAAATCTACACATCAAAGATAGGAGTCATATATATATATGTCGTACGTAGATTAATTAAAGGACTCCGACGCTTGTTTGATGTTTGGGATGGACATGTTTCATATCATATAAATTAATTAGCTAAAACTAGAAATTCAAATAAATCAAACTCAACAAATTAAAAAAATATTAAATTAAATAGTTGAAGATAATTAATTGAGTATGAAGAGAAGTTAACCTTAGATGAGAAGAGAAGTGAATCTCCCCGAAAGAAGGAGCCAATAATTTCCATTGGATCCTTTGCAGCAGTATTCAAATCTATTAGAGCAAGAGAGCTAAGGGTTTCTGCACCTTCTTCATTCATTGGCATCTGAAAAATTAATTAGACAGACACCATGTACCCATATATATATATATATATATATATATATATATATTAGTAAAAATAATTAGCTAGTAAACAATCTAAGAGACCAGATATATATATACCATCAAGGTTTGAGTTTGAGCCTAGAAATTAAATTAGGATAATATATATAAATGCTATATATAAAAAGTAGAATCGACACTCATCGATGTCGATCTCTAGCTACGTACTCCTTTAATAAATATCAAAACCACATTTAATTAGTATTCTAATTAAGGTCATGTGCAAGAGCTCAAAAGGGTTACCCCAATGTTATGAATATGAACGTGATGTCGACGACCCTACTCCTTTAATTTCAACTGCAGTTAGCATCCTGAGGGTAATGTAAGGGTCGATCAAGCCAGGTGAAATCATCATTTGACATGATTAACTTGGTTGGGATTTTGTCATATCAAACTAGATTTGAACCATTTTTGTTTAATTGATATATAAATTACAACATCTCTTCTCACTTAAAAAATTAAGATGTTAATTTTGGAGAATAATATAATATATGAATGTAATGGATACTAGCTAATTGGTTTCTAACAAGGCAACAGCCAACAGTAATTAAGTTGATAACGCCCCCATCCTATCCTAGCTACAAGCCATTCATTTCTTCATGCAAGGTGGTGCCTAAGGCATTGCAAGTGCGAGACTCTATTTCTCTAGCATCCATCGACTAAAAAAAAGATCAATCGATCAACTCCATACATGGATCGGCATAATCTGTATAAAACTTGACAGCCTAAGATCGAGAAATCCAAGAAGCTGCAAGTCATGCAGATGCAAAAATCAAAAGGAATGCATGTACGTCCAAGTTGATTCATGGCTACACATGTATAATGGAGAAAATTGATGAGAATTATCATGTCCATGTCCTGGATCCCTATCCCTATCCCTATCCCTATAGAATTGAAATGTAGGTATACATACCATTAGGGCCTTGTGGCTTGGGGAATCCATGGAAGCGAATCGGAATGGGTGAATTTGATAGGATTAGGATGGAGAGAGAAAGCTGCCGCAAGATACGCGCACCAAATATATAGGCTATAGCTACCTGCTCTACTTACCCTAACCCTTTTTTGGGATCTGTATCCATCTTTCTGGCCCAACAATTTCTATTCCATTTATTTTTTATTCATATTTATATATAACACCAGTTTTACTATTTAAGTTTTGTAATACCAATTAAGCTACCCATGTTATTAAACAACAATAATTATATTTACAAAACAATATATATATATATATATATATATATATATTCCAAATCTAATTTATGTATTTCGAATTATAAACAATGCATACATACGTACAGCTATTCCATTAACTTCGAATCCAACTTATAATCATTATGGAAGTCACTGATAGTCCATCACTTGATACGTCCATCCATGTGGGACGATCGAGTATATTTGATGTGTTTATGATTTTATATTTCATGTACATTTTTTGCTTTAATGTATATATATATATATATATATATATATATATATAAAAGGTGTTTGAAGAAACAAGTGAGAGTCATGTTGGGTGTTTTTTAGTTGTACAGTTTTGGTTTAATGTATATATATTTCATGTACATTTTTGGTTTAATGTGTATATATATATAGGGTTGGGTTCACGTGAAACCAAAGGTTTTTCGTGAGACCAATTTATGTTCATTAATCAACTTTATAAGTTAATGATCAAATGGTTTAAAGTTGTACGGTGGCAATTTTGTAATTATTGAGAAGTCTCGTGGCGTTTATGAATGTTCACAGATCTGACGATTGTAGATCTAATCCAAGGGTTGAGAATTGGTCTTACGGGTCTCACGAAAAA